GCAAAACGTGCCAACACATGACCTTCCCTCCAAACAAACAACCCCTGAATCCAGCCTGCCTTAGGCCTACACTCTGTGCGCCAAGGGGCTTCTGTAGCAGCTGGTTGCCCAGCAAAGCGCCCTGCCAAATTCATATGCAGCCCATGCCACTGCAGTGAAGTAGACGCTGCACCCTCTGACCCTGAAGCCTTGGTTGCCTACCCAGTCCCTGAGTCTTAGACGGGCTTAAGGGTTCAGGGTTTGCTGTTAATCCTCACAGGGAGGCCTCGTCACGAAACAATAGCCTGTAGTTAAAACCGTATGAGCCTCATATTCTACATGCCAGCCTTTGAGCACTGAACCCTGCCAAGAAACATGCACCCTCAACTCGCACTCGCAGATGCGTTGAGCAAAGACCTCTTCAGTGCCGCTTGCCGTCATAACCTGGCTGTCACAACGAGACACAGCAGCAGAGAGACCTGAAGTTGCCTGTAGATTCCAAACTTGCGAATTTAGAAGAACCAGGGACGTTGAGCGTTTCGCAGGGCTCAGATACTTGCTGTGAACAGTTTTGCACAGCCCCAGCGTGCCAATCATGGGATCATGTAAGGAGCCATGAAGAATACGTGGGCTGCTGTGGTACTATCATGCTACGAGTAAGATTACGATGATTCATGTACCCCTAAACCCTACACCCTGAACCCTGAACCCTAAACCCGAATGTCAAGAATAAGGGTTCTCGAGCCGGGTTCACAAGCCTCTGTTCAGGGTTGGAAAGATTGCCAGATAAACGTGCGCTGGGGCATCTTCTTCGCCCATGGTTTTTAGCGCAGTCCGAGCGCTGTGATTCTTCGTAGCCCTCTCGCAGGCGCTGATGGCTGCGGTGTAGGTGATGCTGTCCAGGGACAAACTGACCTCCGTTGCCTGGCCTCGGATGCAGGGGGTAGGCTTCTCTGAAATGGCACAAGACAACTTCAAGGGTTCGAGGTGCAGGGTTTCGGGTTTAGAGTTTAGGGTGTTCTTGGGCTGGACTGTCATCTTAAAGATGCAGAGGCATCAAGATCAAGGAGGCAAAGAGACCCAAGGATGAGCAACCACAGCGAGGGTCAAGCAGGTGCAGGAACGGCAGGTGGCATCTCTGGTCTCCATCTCCATCTCTGCAGGCCCTAAAGCCCTGTAAACCCTAAACCCTAAACTCTAAAGCCCCAAGACCTTGCTTCCTAAAGCAGAAGTCCTGAAGCCCCCAACTCTCAGCCTAAACCTAACACCGGAGCACTGAAGCTCCCCCTCCTCTCCCCAAAGATCGAGCGGCAAAGCAGAAGCAGAGCCTTCTGCCACTGCGCGCCAGAGGCCAGGGCGCTGATAACGGCGTTGTAGGAAATCCTTCAGGCGTCCCCCTAAACCCTCGACCCTCGACCAACCCTAAACGAGCGGTAGTAGTCTCCTAACCATTTGCACTAGAATTAAAACCCTAAACCCTGAGCTCTGAACCCTAAACCCTAACCCTAATAAACCCTAAACCCTAAACCCTAGACCCTAAACCCTAAACCCTTAACCCTTGAAGCCTAAAGCCTAAAGCCTAAAGCCTAAACCCTAAACGCTAAAGCCTAAACCCTAAACCCTAAACCCTACCCATGATAAGCTGGGTGCAGCCCCGAAGCAAGTCGGGCTGGATGTCGAGGCCCGCCGCTTCTTCCATCCTGAGATAACCCGTCGCACGCACCGTAGGGTTTAGGGTTTAGGGTTTAGGGTTTAGGGTTTAGGGTTTAGGGTTCAGGATTCCAGGGTCATGGTTCCAGGGTTGGGGGTGTAGGTTTCGCGAGGGTCGAACAATGGTTTCGGGCATTTTGGGTGCGAGGTTGGAGCAGTTTTTTGCTCGGGACCTGGTGAGCTTCCCCCGGCATTTTCGTGAGGGGCCAAGGAAGTCTATGCGCCTTCAGAGAGGCTTGAAGCTACTGGGCCCGATACCCTAAATCCTACCCCCTAAACCCTAAACCCTAAACCCTGAACCCTAAACCCTAAACCCTACACCCTAAACCCCAAACCCCAAACCCTAAGCCAAACAACGCTGAAACCGTAGGAGAAGATCCTAAGGCGAGTCCGAGAAAAAACATTGCTAATAACGAAGCCCTAAGCCTAAAGCCTAAAGCCTAAAGCCTAAAGCCTAAAGCCTAAAGCCTAAAGCCTAAAGCCTAAAGCCTAAAGCCTAAAGCCTAAAGCCTAAAGCCTAAAGCCTAAAGCCTAAAGCCTAAAGCCTAAAGCCTAAAGCCTAGACCCCCGAATGTGCTACTTCAATCCCTAGACCCCGGCAGTGCCCCAAAAATGTTGAAGTCCGATCCCAGAATTTTCAGGATTAGGGGCCACGCCTTTACAAGGGTTTTGGGTTTAGGGTTGAGGGTTGAGGGTTTAGGGTTTAGCTAAAGGGCCGAAGGCCCTAAGGCCCCACTCTCATCGTCTCCCAGGCATGCAGCGGCTGTAAGGGAGGGGGGATGTAAGGGCCTACTCTGAGTCCTAGCCCTAAACCCTAAAATCACCCTCCCTTGCAACCCATCTGGATCCTTCTGACCGACCAACTACTAATTGCTTAAGAACCCTGAAAAAAACACAAATATTCTTCCTGATTGGGGGTAATGTAGGGATTATTATGTTTAGGGTTTAGGGTTTAGGGTTTAGGGTTTAGGGTTTAGGGTTTAGGGTTTGGGGCTTAGGGTTTAGGGCTTAGGTTTAGGGAATTCTTTTGGGGTTCCTAAGCAAATAGTGACCAAGCAGCAAGACCAACGCCAGGCGCCACTCGGCTGCTTTCTCACAGGAGCTCAGCCTGGGTTTCCGACGTGGTTAGGGTTTAGGGTTTAGGGTTTAGGGTTTAGAGTTTAGAGTTTAGGGTTTAGGGTTTAGGGTTCAGGTTCAGGGTTCAGGGGTTAAGGTTTAGGGTTTACTCTGCGCTCTAACCTGAGAAGTCTCTTCGGGCCTGGCTTGTGTAGCTTGGCTCGAGTGCGTCGATTTTCACGTCTGGGGCACGTGCTGCAGAACTCGGTTGAACACCAGCAAACTGTAATTTAGGGATCCAGGCACCTGTTCTGACGGCGAAGCAGCCCCTCAACCCTAAACCCTTACTAGAGGGTACCTAGGCCCTTTTAGGTAACACTTTGGCGAACCCCACACTAAGCCTAAATATGATGAAACGACGGCCGCGAGACGTGGCGTTGAGGGTGATTTCGTTTGGCGCTATTCTTCCGTGGATCATCTCAGCCCACAGCAGAATAGCATCTTCCCACCTGCCAGGGCCTGAAAATCACAGATACCAGGCCACCTGCTTAATTAGGCCTCAGGCCTCCTCATTGATACTTCTGTCTTCCATATACATATATATATATATATAGGGTGCCTAATTCCTTCATCCCCCCCCCCCCCCCCCCCAAAAAAAAAAAAAAGAAGGTCCAACCTTGCACCGGATTCACATGCAGTGATGGCCGCGCCATATGTCACGGCCGTGGGCCAGATCTGAGCGGAAGAGTGTTGGCGCAACAGCCAGAGGGACCACTTCCAATTAGCTGCTTGGCCAGAGGCACTGATGGCCGAATTGAAGGAGATGATGTCTGCTCTCCTAGACCCAGGAGTAACCGAGGAGAACAAGGGTACCCTTTTTGGTTTTAAGGCGGTTTATAAGGGAACCCAAACCCTAAAAAAGGGGAATTAGGGGGGTACTCTGGGCCCTAAACCCTAAACCCTAAACCCTAAACCTAGACCCTAGACCCTAAACCCTAAATAAAGGGGGCTTCTTTGGGTCCGAGTCTCAGATTCCCGGAGCCCGTCTTGCAAGTCAGCTCAAGGGATCTCTCCCATTGGCCGGCCCGCTCCTTGGTGGCCCAGTAACCATCTTCTAAGATAAGGGCTTAGGGTTTAGGGTTTAGGGTTTAGGGTCTAGGGTCTCGGGTTTAGGGTTTAGGGTTTAGGGTAGCCCAGTGACCATATGACACACAAGGGCACCCTTTTTGGGGTTGGTTACTTTATAGGGGAACCCAGAACCAACAAAAAAAGGGCAACGGTTAACAGTGGGCTACTAAGGTTCACAAGCGCTGTTGGAGGCGTTGAAGGTGATCAGGTTAGGCTCAAGCTGATCTACCGACATGCCTTGGGACCAAAAGATCCCTCAAAGGGGTTTGATGCTTCATCTAGCCTTGCAAGAAACTATAATAGTAGTAGCATAGGGTCTATGACTCCCCCCCCCCCCCCAAATTTTAGGGTTCATCCACCTTACATGGGATTATTTAGTAGTATGGGGTAGCACGACCATATATTTTAGGGTCCATATGTGGTCCCCAAGGTGCCTGAGGCCAGCTGCACTGCCTGCCTCCATGCATAGCCTCTGCCGGCGGAGCTGACGATGGAGCTGAGGGTTATAACATCCTTGGCTGCCCTTAGCAGGGTAGCTAAAATTTCAATTTTTAGCTGCCTTCTTAAGAAACCCAATAAACCCAAAAAGGCTAAAGATGTAGAGTTACAGTAATTAAAGCACCGCAAAGCATCCGTGCTGATGGGGCCACGACGTGCTTGAGCCAGGAGGCACAGAGCCTGTAGCCACACCGCGCCCTTCTCGCATGCGTCGCACATCGAATTCCAGGTGACCGTGTCGGGGTGTGCGTGGGTCTGTTTCAAGCCACTGAGCAGCTGCAAGGCACGCTGCCAGTCTGATGATTTCGCACAAGACGTGGAGGTTGCGTTGTAGGTGATAAGGTTGGCTTCGAGCATGTGCCCTCGGCAATCGCTGAGCTGCTGAACTGCCACATTCCAGGACCGATCACACGCACGGATGCTGGCACCCAGTGTTATCACGTCCTTGCGGAGGGTCTTCAGCTGCATCCGGGACGCGAGTGAGGTTGCACGTGGCCAGATGGAGTCACACAGGCTGATCCTTAGTAGCCCAGCAACCATATTATCATGGAGGTACCTCTTTTGCTTCATAAGGGAACCCAGAACCCCTCCAAAAAAGGATAAAGGGCACCACCGGGCTAGCAAGGATCTCAGAGTTGTAGGTAATGCCATCGGCTTCCAGCAGCATGAACTCCATCTCGCAGAGCAGCACCACACCATGCTTCCAGTCTCTTGACCTAGACCCCGGAGGAACCTAGGAATAAAAAAGGGCACCCTTTTTGGTTCTAAGGGGATTATAGGGGATTCTAAGGGAACCCCAACCCAAAAAAAAATGGAAAAAAGGCCCTACTCCAGGTCTCAGTGACTTTCTGCAGCTTGCGATCGCTCTGTTGTAGTCCAGCAGGGATCCATTGTCGCACATCAAGCAGCAGGCAAGGCAACTCAGGAAAATACTCGTGCGAAAAGAAGGCTGCTTGCGGGCCGAAACTCGGGAAGCGCAACAGCGTCATGCTTCAGTCTTGAGGCCAGGAACCCTGAAAACTGAAACGCCTGAAGCCTTGAATCAAGAGCTGCAAGCAACGGGCACAGCCACGGGCGAACCACAACACAGGTCATGCTGAACGACGTAAGAGAACTAGTTTGGTCCTTCAAACTAGCTGAAAACATCTTCCTAAACATGAGCCACTCCCTAAACCCTAAACCCTAAACCCTACACCCTAAACTCTACACCCTGAACCCTAAACCCAATCTAGGGGAGAAATGGAAAGACATCCCAAGGCCCCACCCAGATTGCTAATGCAGGTGCCCGGAACCGCGCCCACGGCCTTCGTCAAGGGCTTTGGGTTTAGGGTTTACCTACATACACTCACCAAGAAAAGACTTCACATAGGAAGAGGCTCATGCTTCGAAGGGTTCGGGGGTCGGCAGCCGACCCCAAGTACACCTTAACAACTGGGGTTTAGGGTTTAGGGGTTTTGGGGTTTAGGGGTTTAGGGGTTTAGGGGCTTAGGGGCTTAGGGGCTTAGGGGTTTAGGGGTTTAGGGTTTAGGGATGGTTTAGGGTTTAGGGCTAAACAATGAACCCCAAATCCTAAACCCTTCAGTAGGAACCCCTTATATACCCCTTGTACATCTTTGGGTTAGAAGGATCCTAACTTCGGTTGTAAGCCCCTTAACTATAGTATAGGAAGGGGGCCCCTCCTTGTAGGGGCTTCAGCAAGCGCGGCGCGGAAACCAGAGAGCTGGAAGAGAGGAGCTTCTCGTACAGGCTAGCATGGCGCTGATCCTGGCCGCACTTTCCCAAAGCCACCCTAAAACCTAACCTAAACCCAAAACCCTAAACCCTAAACTTAAGAACCCGAAGCCGGCCTTTTTGTCGGTTACCTAAGAATCATATAAGGCGTATCATGATCAATCACCTGCTAACATTTTAGGCTTGGGATTCTTAAGGTAAACCTATATAAACCCGTAGAGGCCCCACAGTCCACCGCCCAAAATGGCAACTGTTTTGGGCACTTGGAGTACAAGTGTAACGTCCCGAGCAGAATCTGGAACGAACTGCTCAAGTCAACAGATGCAAGAAGCCATCCGCCAGAGCCCCCGATATAGAGCCTCATATACGCCAGGCCCGAAAATGCACGGTACAAGGAGGGGCCCCCTAATTAGTTATAAGTGGAGTTATAAGAGCCCTAAATTGCGTTATAAGGATCCTAAATTAGGTTATGAGTTCCTTAACTACAGTTGGTATAGTACGGGACCCCTCCTTGTATGCTTCTTCGGGTCTACAAGCACCGCGGGCGTGACATCCATAGCTTCGCAGCACGGCTTGCGGCTTGTTGCTTGCTTACTTCGTGTCCCCTAGAAACCCCAATACAACCCCCATAGCCCAACTTTAAAAACCTACTTACTAAGTCGAAACAGCTTCCAAGTAGAGTTGTAGCCTGAAATCCCAAAGAGACCCCTTAGCGCTAAACCCTAAACCCTAAACCCTAAACCCTAAACCCTAAACCCCTAAATCCCGATATCCCAAAGAGAAGCCCCGCCTTCGTCGGTCGGAGCCGGCCGGCCACGTTGGCGCACAGCCGCTGCAGGCCGGGAAAATAACGCGCCAAACCTTCGCGCTGATTTAGGGTTTAGGGTTTATAGGGTTTTAGGGTTTAGGGTTTGTAGGGTTGTAGGGTTTAGGGTTTGTAGGGCTTTAGGGTTCTAGGGTTTAGTCGGGTTTAGGGTTACAGATTTAGGTTGTAGAGTTTGGGGTTTAGAGGCGTGAAACAGTTGCTGGAACAGGGCCCTGTGGAGTTGCCAGAGTGGAGATGTCTCAGGTTTAGGGTTTAGGGTTACTCCCTAAAATGTCCAACAATAGTTGAAGAAATCAGGGCTCTGCAAGCCAGCAAACCCTACACATCCCTACAAGCAGGGGCCCCCTTACTATACGAACTCTCGTTCAGGGACTTACAACCTGAGTTAGGATCCTTACAACCCAATTTATCCTTGTAGCTCTACTTATAACTAGGACGGGGGCCCATCTTGTAAGCCCCAAACCATAAGAGGAAGTTCTCTGTTTGGCCTGGTCGATCGTCGGAGCGACGGTGAGCCTGCCGCTCTGCTGCGTGAAAGCATGGGAAGCCTAAACCCTAAACCCTAAACCCTAAACCCTAAACCCTACACCCTGTGTTGAAAAGTTCAATGCCCGACTGTAGACTCAACACCTCAAGCACACAACATAAAACCAACCATGAACACGCCGAACCAGCAGCCCCCCCCCCCCCCCAATGCTTCTCCTGCAGGACTGACTATCTCAGTGGCTTCAGGGATTAGACTTGTGGGATTTGTGGGTGGTTTCATATAGGGTTTAGGATTCAGGGTTTAGGATTTAGGGGGATCCGAATGGGAACCCCAATAGGAAACCCCAAGAATAGAGTAGGAAGAGAATAGGAATATATACCTACCAGGGTCCTTATATTCCCTTTATCATCCTACCATCTTCCTGGGGTTCCCTGCTTGAGGTTACCCTAAACCCTAAACCCTAAACCCTAAACCCCAAACCCTAAACCCTAAACGCTAAACCCTAAACTTCCCCTTAAAGTCCTTTTATTTCAGGCTTCATTTCTTGAATCGGTCTACTGCTTCCTGTTTTGGTGAGAACCGGGATGGACAACCCGCTAAAACCCTATGCCCGTAAACCTTAAACCCCTAAACCCCATAAGAGCCTATGGCCCTAGTTGTCCCGCAATCAGGGAGAATTCAAGGTCAACCTTTGGGAGTAGAAGGGGATTATAATATTTCAAAAGGTTAAAGGCGACCTACTCCATAACTAGGTAGCAGGTAGCCCTAAGGGGTCCATGTACCTGAACAGGGATTACTCGGGCCTTTAAGTACCTCCTATACGGGAACTTTGTGGAGCCAGTATACAATCATGAGGTACCCTTGACACTTAAGGTAAACCAGTCCTAAACCCTAACCCTGAACCCTAAACCCTAATTAAACCCTAAACCCTCACCCTGAACCCTAAACCCCACATATAGTCTACAGGCCTAAGGACTGAAAAACCTTCGGTAGGGTTCGGTGTTTGCCTCCTGGTGCTACAGAGCGAACATCTCTGAAATGCCTCCCCTAAACCCAAAACCTACAACCCAAAACCCTAAACCCTGAACCCTAAACCCTAACCCTGAACCCTGAACGCTAAACCCTGAACGCTAAACCCTGAACCCTAACCCTGAACCCTGTGGACGGGCCTCTAAGATGCGATCCACCACATGAACGCTAGATGTCAGCGCTGGTGCCTGTCCGAGTACTTCAAACTTTCCGGTGTTGAAGTTTTCAGGTTCAGGGCTTGAGATTTAACCCTAAAACCCTAAGACTCGATGGCCCAACAATCCTACAACCCGAAAACCCTGAAATCCAAAACCCTGAGCTCTAAACCCTAAACCCTAAACCCTAAACCCCCTCCAACCCAAGACCTAAATCGCTAGATTCCAAACCCCTACGTGAAGCCCCCTCTTGCTGCCGTTCTGAAATGCCCCCCTTTGCGGTACCAAAGCGGCCATTCATAGACCCAAAACGGACTACAGGGAACCCCACGAAGCTGGGTTTAGGGTTTAGGGTTTAGGGTTTAGGGTTTAGGGTTTAGGGATTAGGGTTTAGGGTTTAGGGTTTAGGGTTGGAGTGCAAGTGACTAGCTGCTCTCAAGAGCTGCACGGAGGAGCATAAGTCCATTCACGCAAGCGGTCTGCCGGCTCTTCACAGCAGTCTAAGGGAGGCACGGCAGCACCGACGGACCCACAACTGCCTAAGGACTCAGGGTTTAGGGTTTAGGGTTTAGGGCTAGAGAATTTGGGGTGTAGGGTTTAGGGTTTGGGGTTAAATCAAGCAGATCACGAAGTGCGCCATGATGAGGTTTTCCCGGAATCCCTTTCGTGTCAACGAAAGAGCTTTTGACGTGGTGCTGCTGCACCGGCAGATGAAGACGGCTCCCCTGCCGCCTTTGCTGCTGCGCTAGGAGATGAAGACGGTGCTGCCGCGATGGGAGATGAAGACGGCTCCCCTGCCGCCTTTGGCGCTGCTGCACTGGGACTGGCAGCTGAGCCTCAGGGGTCTATCTAAGTCCAGCAAAGGTTCACAGGTTGCTAAGTTTTGAGGACAGGGAAACATGAACGCAAACTCTGCATGAACTTCGCCAAAGCAACCAGCACCTTTTAAGTTCTCGCCTCCCCCCCCCCCACCCCCCCCCCCCCCCCCCCCCCCCCCCCCCCCCCCCCCCCCCCCCCCCCCCCCCGAACCCACCGGGCCTGCAAAGAACAAAAAGCTTTAGGCTTAGGGTTGAGGTTTTAGGGTTTAGGTTGAACAAGCCGTACACAGAAAGAAAACAGAAACTAAGCAGTAATAATGGGTACAAAATTCAAGGGAAGAAGGGCCCGCAGGTCCTAAAGAGCAGTGTGGAAGCATCAGATCTGAGGGTTTAGGGTTTAGGGTTTAGGGTTTAGGGTTTAGGGTTTAGGGTTTAGGGTTTAGGGTTTAGGGTTTAGGGTTTAGGGTTTAGGGTTTAGGGTTTAGGGTTTAGGGTTTAGGGTTTAGGGTTTGAACTGGACACGCCCCTTGCGGCAATGGCCTGCATGTCGCCGACGCCCCAGCCTGACTTTGGGGACCGTAAACCCTAAACGCGGAACCCTGAACCCCCTAAGCCCTAAACTCTAAACCCTAAACTTAGGCCACAAACCCTAAATGCCTGAACCCTAAACACCGCCCTTCTAAGCCTTCATCAGGGGGCCCAACAAATCTGGGCCCGGGGCCCAACAGATAGAAGCCATCAGCATGGGCTTGGGGGTTAGGCTACTTTGTCCAAGTCCGAAGTCTGATGAATGTCCTTGATGGTACTATTCATAACCTAACCCTGAATAAACCTAAACCTTAACACCTAACCCTAACCCTAAGCCGCAAGCGAAACCTTCCTGTGCTCTGGTGGACCCGGAGATTTTGAGGGGCGAACTCTCTGAAACTTATGCCCCAGGACG